ATAGGCATGTTATACTCAGCTATGTTTTTCAAAGATATTTACTTGTACAACAGTAATTCAAGCAAGAAGCTAGTGTTTTTGTTTCCTAAGAAAGGTATATTATATTATTCATTTAGTTACTTTCATTAATGGTGTTGGTTATACTATTTATTATATTGAATGTCATTACTTTAACATTTTATTTTTTATTATTATATTTTGATTATAGAGATTATTTTGCTTTGTCAGCTTAATATTTAGGACTAACTTAAAAATACCTAATGTGGCTGAACCTCATGATATATTATTGGGATTATACCTGAAAATGTCATAAATGATGAGGGTACCTAACTCATGAAACAATGTATTCTATTCTATGTAAGTAGAGTGTAAGAAAAGTATACTTAATTAGCTATACTAATTGTCTGGTTGATTTCTACTTTTGCTGTAAGTACATTGCTAGTTCTGATCAGATATTAGTATTAACTGTTTGTGCTCCAAGTGCCTTGATCAAAAAGATCTATGGTACACACTGCTTAGGCTAAAATAAGAATATAATTTCTTTACTTGATTGAGACTGACATGAAAAAAAAATTGAACCCAAAGTTTTTAATAATCAATTTGTCTAGAAATCAATTTTCTAAACTTGTTGATTAATACTGCCAAGATGCTTACTTGTTATTCACTAAAGCTGGGCAGTTGGTGAATTTGCTAGTCAATTATTTGTCTTGCTTATTAATTGAATACATTCAACTAACGTATTATCATCATATGAGACTTGGATAGTTGGAATAATTGAAAATACTAATAATTGGGAATGCTAATTTTGTTTAGTTGATTATTATTGTAATCATGACACTAGTCCATTATGCTTAACAGTCTTGAATTAACTGAAAAGAATACTGAGAAATTAGAATATCAGTGTTTTGATTAATCAGTTATTTCATGTGACACAAATTGAAGTAATTAATGCTCATAAGTAATTGACAATATCGAGTTAATTGTGCAGCTGTATAAAAAGTCACTACTTTCTATGAATAACAGAGCTAATATTAAACTTAAAAAGAAATAAAAGACTTAAAGTTAGGATAATTAAAGAAAATACTGATTTTAAAGTTTTCTTTGAAGGTGCGAGTTCTTTTATGTGTAAAAACAAACTTTACATAAGAATAAAACATCGAACTCTTGTATAAGGTTTGTTTGTGCAACACAATATCAAATTAATGTTTACTTGTACTTCAACTAACTAGTTTATTTTTAAGTGCCACAACAAGGTTTTGTAACAAACTTGAAGAATGAGTAAAGCTTTTTATTTAAAAAAAACTTAAAAAAACAACAAAAGGGAGCTACAAGTAGTAGGTAAACACATGCTGCTTGTTCAACCACTGGGAAATTCCTTTATTTCTCCACAAATTTTGTATTTAGCAGTACCATCTTTAAAATCTTTTGATCAAAATTCCAAAAGTAACTATAATGTGAATAATCTTTGACAGTGGTTTATTTTTAATCTCAAATCTGTGTTAATATTAATTTTCCCCAAGACTATCTGATGAAGCATCACTTACAGTATGTGAAAAGTCTCTGAATATTCCTTTCAGTATATGTATATGTAGATATAGAATGAGCAGATTATTTGAAAAACAGCTTTTACTGATATACTCCGTTGACACATTTCGTAGGGTGTTTTTTCACCAAAAGTACTACAAATATTATAAGTATCTTGTATTATATTGCTTGTAATTTTACATAATGTGTAGAGATAACTATTTCCAAGATTGGCATAAAGCTAGTGATGTTTTTATTTCTGCTCTTCCAACATAAAACTGAAGTCAACAAAGATTATCTCATAGAGTGCCTGCTCAAAGCAGGATATTTTTGGCTATATATTGTTTAAAGTTGCGTGCTCTTGTTATTTGTGGTTTCAATGGATTGAACAGTTATTCATTAAAATATGTCCTTTCTATCATTGCGTTGAGTCTTAATTCTATGTACATTCTCCTAAAATAAATTATAGATAATACTTAAAGTAAGAAAAATGGGGGAGCTACCTACCTACCCAACTTCTTTGGACAGTCAGATTCAGTAAACTAAAAATATTTTTAAGTGTGCCCTGATGACCACCCTCTACTAAAAAAAGTTATATTATTTAAAGTTAAAAGGCTGAAAACTGGCGAGACATTAAAAGCCAATAGGCTTAACATTTGTGTTCATCATGGAGAAACTAAGAGGAATGTGGAAAACATTGTCTACAGTTTATGTAATTTGTATTTTTATTTATGTTATTATTATGTCCAGTGAACAACCACTTGAGCATAATATTTCTAACCTTGCTGCCAGCAAAACTGCACTGCAGAGGATAGCTGGTGTGAATCTAGCTAGCTGGCCAACATTATAATTGCCTTGGTAACCAATCAAATCAGTTGAAATTGCAGTCTCACTATCCCTATATCCTGATACTTTGTGTGAATATGTCATACAGCTCAAATGGGGGTTTCTCAACTGACATGGCATTGGCAAATGACACAGTCTTGTTAATCACAATTATGTTAACCTTCTGTATTCAGAACCTTATAACATAAATGACTGAAATGCATATATCACTGGTATATCGATACATGACAGTAAGAACCTGCAAATCTTCTTTCTGAGATGTGTACTAGCAATTTTATCCAGTGCCTTCTAGAACTGGGCAATTTAATCGATTATTCAATATCATCGATTAGTGTCATGTAAACTAATTGCGTAATTGAAATTAGTATTTCTGGTTATTATTGTTTTCAACTTTTCTAACAATCACTTTATTGAAGTTATTATGGTTAAATTGATTGTCACAAATATAATCAACTAATAAAAATTAGTTTTTCAATTGGAATGAAAATGATCAACTAACTAGAATTAGTTTCCAATTATTCCAACTATTGAACTAATTATGATATTGCTATTTGTTTGTTGTTAAATGCAAAGTTACATAATGGGGTTTCTATGCTCTGCCTAACTTTAACATTAGAAGTTATTTTTTCTCTACTTCAGGTTTGTTCGTCTTTGGTGATTCAGGGTGAGCTCATAATTCAAGGGTCTTGGGTTTGATTGCCTTTGCCATTGATCTGTGTTTATTATGATGAAACCAGTAAGGCTAGATGCCTCTGTCATTAATTTTGTACTGCTGACTAGATGGAGGCTAGATGACAATTGGCTGGCAGCACCTATCACCAACTTTTTTTTTTCTTTTGCTTGTATGTAACATGGTGTGAATAATATTATACTAATGAATTAATTGAACAAAATCAATTAATGGGGCTGTCAGATAATTGATTAGCAAATAACACTAATTTCCCAGAGATTTAATAGCAAAACTACAACACTAACCAACAATTTGCCAGCTTTAATTTCGAGCACTAGGTTAACCTCTTGGATTATTTGTTTACTTAAATACCTTATTAAAAGTGACCATAGACAGAGAATTTCTCCACTATTAGCAGATTAGTTAGATGCCTGAAGTAAAGCTCAGGTTAATTCACCTTTTAGTTGAATTTCTTTGTGTCTGATTTGTCTTTTCCCATATATTAAACAAATAAAGATAACAGTTTTTTTATTTTACTGAAATCAGCAAGAATACTCTTCAGTTTAGACTTTTTTGTATTTGTTTTAAAGAAAACTTGTGTTAGAAAATGAGAAAAATGTTTTATAATGTAATTTAAGAATATTGTATATACATATTTTTAGGTTTTTGACGAAGCTGTGCGGGCTGTATTACGACCAGAACCCCAGAAGAGACGGCAAAGAAAATGCAAGTTTGTGTGATTTAAGTTTTTGTTTTGCATGTTGCAGTGAGCCATGTCGTCCAGAAGTCTAAACAACTGGTAAATCAGTGCCTGCATCAGCTTGTGAAATCTGATATATATGTGTAAACAAATTAAGCTTAAACATTGAACTTCAAAAATTGGACAATCTCAAAACAAAAGATACCAAATTGTGAAACAGCTTCTTTAGAGTTACCTCTTAATTTTATGTACTTTAGTAGAATGTAGGTGTAAGTTAAGCAATATGTAAAAAATGATGTGTTGCAGAGCCAAATCAAGATGTAAGAAAAACTGTTTTGTCTTTTTATTCCTTGATTGTTTTTGACAAATAACTTTAATGTAAGTGATTTTACGTTAATTCAGTTTTTAAGTAATTAACATGAAACTAATAGTTGACAGTATAATGCATTGTTTTGCAATGTGGTAGCCTTTTAAAGGAGATTGCTATAGTTTACCTTGCAGTTAGCGAATGGACAAGTTATGATGTTTGCTTTACTACAAAAATTAGAGGGAATTCCAAATGGCAGTGCTCTTTTGTGTTTCCAAGTATTTTTCAGTCTGTTTGCAAAACGTTCAGTAACTTTCTTTACCAAAAATACTTAATTGTGGACATACAGTTAGTTGAGGTAGATTTTGTATTTGTTGATACTTTTGTAAACAATATAGTATTGTATAATGTTCCTAAAATGTTTGTTTTTCTGTATAAATTCTTTTTGTGACCTCTTGTCAGTTGCCTGAAAAATTATGTATTCAGATCTAGGACAAACTCAGCTTTCTGTTTTATATTTTCCCTAGTCATTTGAATAATTAATTTTTAAGGTTGTACTTAATTGTACACCAAACACTTCATTGCATTCATTTACAAAAATACTTTAGTAAGAAAAAATTAAAAACATAAGTCAACACCAACTTCAAAATCAAATTGTAAACAAAATTAATATACTGACAATGGTATTATTGTTATTTGTAGGATAAGCAAGTGTAATTAATTTTTTCAGAAGATGAGGATGTGTAAAAGTTGAGTGTTTTAGAAGAGGGTATCAGATTAAGTGTTAAGTATTTTAGATAAATACCTGGAACTGTAAGGTTTGGATGTTTCATAAGACATTGAACTGTAGGTGTTGAATATTTTAGGAACAGACAAGGAATTTTAAGTACTTTATGGGTTAAATAAACCTACAGTATTATATATGCTGAATTTTAGTCAAAGAAATAAGAATCATTTTGTTTAAAAGGGTGTTTTATGTTGTGTATTTAACCAGAACGTTTTTTTTTTCTTCAAAAGGTAATTATAGCCAATATTTAAAAATATATTATAAATAATATAATTTTGGCAGAGAGTATACAGTTAATACCCAAAAGGACTTAATATTTAACAATCTGATATATCAAGGTAGTGTCACTTAAGTTTCATGATGAGGAACCGACTTTAAGACTAATAAATTCATGAATATCACTTGCATGTCAAAAGTCAAAATAATGAATCAAAAAAATATGGTGCAATGGGCAGAATTGCACTTTCATAAGATTATAGTTATAAGAAAATAACTATCTGCACAGATGTAAGGCTTGTTGAGTGTCATGGTCTATTTTTGCTTGCTGGTTACTATGATCTTATCCCATTTTAAAACTATTACTATTGGTATAACTTTCACATGGAAACAAAACCAGATTTTGTACCTTTATAAATAGCCTACATTTCATTATGTCTTAATGGATCTGGTAATTTGTAGGTGCCATAATCTAAAAAAATCAAATACTTGGATGTTACCTTTTCATAACATGTTAGCCAAGTTACATTTCAGCCATTTTTCTTAAAACTCTCCTTTCATGAGTGATAAGATGTAGGATTAAGCTTTTTTGTTTTTCACAATTTATATTTTTAACTATGAATATAATTCTAAACAAAAAGGATTGTAACTAATGGTAGTCTTTTACGGTAGCTTTCATTAATATTATTTGCTTGTAATTGGTGTTATTCTTTTAATTAACCACAAAGGAGCAGATATTCAAATTCTTTTTGTGAAACACATTTTGAAAATGCTCTTTATGCTTCAGAGTAAACCATTAATAATGATTCTTCTTGGTTGACTGCTTTAATGACTTCCTTTTGACACTTTAATGCCAAGTTTGACTTTAACAACAAAGGAATTTCAAGAATACATGAAAATTAAACTGTGTAATGTTTTTTCTTAGTTTGCAATACAACATTTTTGTAGTCATTTACTTGTTGCTAGTTTGTGAGTTCACTGCATCATATCATTTGCGTCATTTATCAAAAACAATAAATAAATAATTAATATATTAGAAAATTTGTTAATAAAAGTTTGGAGTTCTCATTAATGATAAAACAATCTATAAATGAAATTATTTTAGTAGGTTTGGATTTTATCATGATAATATTTAGTTATTTTGGAAACTGTGTGACTATTGTCCACTATGCAGTGAGTGGTACAGTGATTTTTTCTGTGGCAAATCTGAGTTGGTAGTGTCCCTTTTATATATATATATAGATATATTTGACTATTTGTGAAGTCTTAAAAATGTGATTTTAATTCTTAATGCTCATTTTTAATTTTAGTATTTTTCCTTTTTGTCTGTATTAGTACTTAACTATTAAGACAAGTTCATAATGTACTTGCGTTTTCAACACTTAAATAGGCAAGTTAATAATTTATTGCTTATAAAGTATTGCAGACTTGCTAAATAATATGCTGTTATTCTGTTCATTTAAAAATGAAATTGGTCATATGTGCCATACAGAAAACAATTTATCATTATTTTTATTTTCACACTTAAAATGTTGCTAAAGCTTTAATATTACTAACATCTTGTGGTGATAGAAGTTATGGCTAATGTTATGTGTGAAACAGTTTCTTTATAAAGCCTTTACATAATCTGTAAAGTTGAGATATGTTAGAACAGAAACATAATAAATAAGAATGTTTAATTTCAGATCCAAAATATAAAAGTTTACCAGCAATCTCACAAATACTTTGGAATAAATGTTATAGGTGGAGGTTTCTACTCTGTTAAAAATAGAACTCACAACTATAAAACAATAGTTTTGATGTAATTTTCAACCCCAAAAAGTATCATTTCAAACTGAAACCACTATTTTGCTTTCTGGATAAAATAATGCCAGCTAACGGTATTAACCAGTTTATATTTTATACATTTCTAACATCCTAATAATACATTTGTAAATGTTAGAATTACTTAGTAAGCATAATATAAAAGTGCTAAAAAGAATGCTGTTTATATGCATAGAAAAAGTGGAAATGATAATATATATATATGTATTTTATTGCACTAAAAAGCCTTCATATATATATATATACATAAATGTACATGGTGAAGTAGATGTCGTGGAACATAGACTAGAATGATATAAACCTATGCCTTAATGAAGTTGGTATCTTTCCTATTGTATAAGTTGCTTTTTCATCAGTTTGTTGTAATTGGTATTACATGATATATGTTTCACCTGTTAAGAAGTGACCTTTTTTGCAATGATGGCAGTCAAGTTCATGAATTTCCTTTTTTAAAGACCTTATGAGGTTATATATCTGATAGTAAGTTTGGAATGTTGCTTTATAAGGCACAATGTATGTTCTTTAAAAAGAAAAGCATAGGGATTCTTAATATACCATTTGTAACTTTAATGAATAATAAATCTTCTGAAAATTAAAAGAAAAAAATATTAAGTATTTGTTAAAACCTATTCAGTTCTTGAAGTAAATAAAGTTTTTATATGTTTATATTAAAATAATTTAACCATGAATGTAAAAGTTACTATTGCACATTTATTTATTTTTCCTAATATTTAGGTTGATTTTGGCTTTTATCGTAGCTTTTGTTACAAAACAGCACATAAATAATAATTAATGAAAACTTTCTATATGATGCAGGTTTTTGTGAATTCTCAGTATTAGTTTTTCGTGAAGGATCACTTGATGTAATGAAAAAAGAAAGAATGAAGACACTTTAGAGGAGCATAGTACTATTTCTTTATCAAGATTGTAATATGTACTTATATTTGTATTTCTTGCCAAAATTTACTTAAATTGTTTTCTAGCACAATTTACTCTACTGCCCAGATCTAGTCAAAATAATAAAGAATTGCTCATTATAAATATGCTTTAAAACCTTTTTTGAGAATGCAACCTGCTGATATGTGTAATGTAGGGCACTATTTAATCCTTGCATAATAAGCACTGCTATCTTTAAATAACTCCTACAGAAGTACATTTAAATGAAAATTTAAATTTCTGCCATATTTTTGGCTTAGAAGAGCACTAAGCACTATATTTTTTTCACTACTTGAGATTATATTAATGATGGTTCCTTTTTTTATGATTCAGTAGTAATATACATTTTCCAACTTATTGTTAGTTTTCTAGTTTCTTTGCAAGTAAGAATTTTATTTATTCTTGATTTAGAGAATTCTGTGTGTGGCAGCTTTTTTGTAATACTTTTTAGTGTACTGGTTCTTGTATTTATATAAACTATGTTGGCTAACATTTGGTATAACAGAAAACACCAAATAAAATTTTGTATTCAGTTCTTTTGTTGTTATGAAGCTAATACTGTTTTCCACATTATCCAAGTCATGAAACCCTTTTCAGTTCTACGTACCAACATATTTTAATGGGTAATTCATCTTGAGTGCAAATGTTACTCTGTCTTTATGAAAAAAGTAGTTTGGTTTGAAAATAAGGAATAAAAATGTGAAACAACATTTTACATTATCAGTAAAAGAAAAAGAAGACTTAAGTATAAAGTTAGATTTACTTAAGGTTAACTTGTATTTGCACCATAAAGATTATGTGAAAAAAATGTGTGAAAGTGAAAGAACTTTTTATTAATATAAAACTGTGGTCAATATGTTTAACATAAAACATTTTCACACATACAATCAGCCAGTAGGAGTCAATTTCTCTTGACCATTTTGGTAACTTGCATGCCATTTGGGCTTGCTGTGATGCTGCTATTCATTCTCCCCATACAATTCCGATCACAATGGTCATCATTTAAGTTTATGGATTTGAAAGAAATGTATTTTTTGAGCTTAGGTTATTAAAAGTTTAGTTCAGAATCTGTAAAGTTGATTACAAAATTACCCTAAAATCTTTTCAATTTACTTCTGTATCTTTGCATCTTTAAAATACTAGCTAAGTAAGTAAAAGATTGCTTATCATTAACCTCCTTTAGATTTTAATGTGATATGCTTTTGGTACATTCAACGTAATGTCTTCTAAATAGATACACATGTGTTAAAGTGTTTTAAAGTGCATGCTTTAATAGTAATAAATTATATATATACACACACACACACACACTTCTCATTTGTAATAGACATGTACAATTTTGAAAATTTAAGTAATAGTGAATATCTACAACATTTTCAGTAATTTTAGATTGTAGTTGTATTCCTTTAAGACGTTGAAATATGCTTTTGTTGCTTACATTTATAGTTTTTGTGCATTAAACATCGTAACTAAAATAAGCTTCTTCAGTTATTTGAGCTTTTCTCTTTCGACCTATTATAATAAAGTAAGTGATTCTTATTCCATATGTACTGTACAAAAAATGATATTGAAACTTGTAATATTACAGCTATTACAAGACAAAACCAGTGTTATTAAATAATATTAATTGTCCCCTCAAAGGAATATGAATCAACTTAGATCACCAGGACCATTAAGAAAGAGACCTGCAAAAACTTGTACCTCAGCTTTGGTAAGCAGTGTGGCATTTTGCATCAAGTGCGAATCCATGAACACATCTTGCAGGTAACAGTACACAGCATAATCAAGAAAGATCTAGAAATGTGACAATAGCTACTTTCACAACATACATACCTAAAGCAGCTAGAGAATAAAATGGGTATTTATGCTATTCCATAAGAAGACTACCAGTCAAGTCACTAGATGCTGTGCTTATGGATTTATGTGCAATTGAACTGTTGAAATGGGCATTGGGAAGCTGTCATCCTTGTAAACTAGATGAATTATTGTTTAACTCCCCCAGGGAGTAGCAGTGTATGCTTTGGACTTGACAGTCATACAACAGAGCCTTTTGCAATAGAAACTATACTGTAGGGCTACTGTCAAGATGCACAATCATCATATACAGCACGACCAGACATGTTGAGGCTCCAAAATCGTTTTAACATAACATACTCGACACTTAACCTCTATTTGAGAAGTACAAGTTTTAAGCACATTCAACCCATAGTGCTATTTGGTGTCTAAATCAAATACATTTTCATTAACCTTAAAATGTTATAAATGCTGGCCTACCCAATCATCACTGAATTACTGCCTCCCCTAGTGATAGAAAACAGATTTTGTGCAATCAATGCAATTAGTTATTTTCAATTAAAAGTATGTTTTACAATTTCTTACAATATTACCATTTTTTTCATATGCAATTTCAAAAATTGAGATAAAAATAAACTATTCAAGTCTTTTCCTAAGTTTCCTTAATTTAAATCTTTTTCACAACTTATTTCAAAAGATCTGCACCTACTTGAAATAAAAATTAACTGAACAAACTATTTGTTGCAGATATCAATATGCTAAAGAATACTAGTTCTTTTGTGTTGCCATTTTTGTAGCTTTAGTTTTAAATCAGTCAAACAAGAAACTTATTTGTAGGTAATTTTATTTCTTTCAAACTTGATTATTTTAAAACTCAGTTTAGTTTTTGAATCCCAAGAATATCCTTTTATTACAATTTTACTTCAAACCTTCGTAATAATTCCTTAAAACACGTTTTACATGACTTTAGTGAATGAAATCAAATTAATACTTCTTTATTTAAACATAAAAGTTGCATTTACAGACCGTACAGCCAAACAGACAGCTTACTCTTTTGTTAAAATGTTTTGAATTAAGAGGCAAACATCTGTTGAGGAAGAAACTTCCAGCTCAAACTAGCAGAAGATCTGCTTTGTGTTTGAGCCTTCATATAATACTCCACAGATGAATAACATTCCACAAAACATCAAACTAGAAATACAATTATTCAATACAACATGAATTCAACACAAATAATAGGCTAACATTATGGAATCACTTCACATATAATGGATATATTTATAGGTATGTTACACTTCACAAAATGTCTAATTTTCAACTAACTTGGTAACAATGAAGCATGGTTATTCAATTTTCTTAAGGTTTGATAATTTAGCAAAGATGCAAGTTACTGCTTGGTGAATTCAGTTTTGCGTCATGTTTCATATGTAATTAAGATAAATTCTCTAGGGAAAAAATGTAGATACTTGTAGTAATTTTTAATTTACATAACTGATAAAATCCCAATATATATATAATTTTTAAGTTCATTTCTGATTTGAATGTAGTTCTAAAATTTATAGAATTTAAATATTTTTCTATAGTTGCATTAGTGCACAAAAGGTTGTGTAATACGTGACTAAATATCACACTGTTAACCAAATGCATATAAACATGCATATATCTTTAATGTATAACATTTCTAGTCATTAGTTTATATCTTAAAAACTTCAAATAATTCTTTTTCTTTAGAACTGCTGGCTATGTGATGCATAAAAACCAATATCTAGTTTAGTGATCAAGCAATAATTCACAATATATTATTTCTGACTACTTTCTAAATCTCTTTGTATTGTTTAACAAAAAATACTGCATACATATACATAATGCTACAAGTACTATAAACATTAAGCTTTTACAAATTATTTGAAATTTTGTTCAAAGCTTTTGTATCATAGTGTAGTTATATAGTGTTAAACTACTCCAATCCACTTCTCATTTAACTGTGTGTGTGTGTGTGTGTGTGTGTGTTACAAAACATGCTCAGATTTGATGAGAAAACAATATTATGAATGTTATTAACTATACAATGCCTAAGTAGACAAACAGGAAATAAACGCTTTAGACTTAATAAAAGTAATGAAATATTATGTCTAAGTCTACTACTGGGTTACAGATGTTAATTAAATCATTGAAAACAAGTATTTTGACTACAATGGTTTAATCCCATACTTATTTGGGCAAGCTTTTAATCACCAGCAAAGTCTATTAACAAGTTTTGATTATGAAAACATATGTATGAAAGGTTAGAAAGTTTGCTCTAGTGGGTCAAAAAAGTTAAGATACTAAGACAATATTCTAATTTTAACTTATTTCATTATCACTATGACTCTACAACCATAACATACATTATAAACAAACTGAATATATCCCATGATCACAATCAGCTAAATTTTAAGATTTATCACTTTCTAGAAACTAAACTGCATATGAATCTGATTACCTATTTTCCAAAAACATGTTACCTGAACTCAAACAAATTTGAATTTCATTTTTTCGAAAAACATTTGCTTATATACAAGTCCTTTCTTTTAGACATAACTAATATACTCTGTTCTCATTCTATGACATTTTTATGCATATTCTTTTCTTTCAAATGGAGATATCTCTTTGCACATAAAAGTAAAATATTTCTGTTGAACTTTCTACCAAATACTGTATGTACAACTCCTACTAGTATAACCTGTAATATCAGTTTCAAAGCAAAAGCTACATGTTTAATCCTGAGACATCTGGTGATTTCAACAACACGTGGTTATCAATGATCTGGAACAACTCTGGAGGTGAAGGAATTCGACCACTTTCTAGCTTGGACCATACAGGCACATCTAAAAATAAAATTAGTGATAATCACTAACAAAATTCATATTTCCCATATATTTGTTTACTATTCTATCTTGATTGGAAACATAGCACACCCACTTACTCCCAACACACAGAGTTATGCACTGAAAGCCCATAAAAATAATTGTTTCATCATTTGCACTTTTCAAATACCACAAGAACCTTAGTTTTAAAATGAGTGTTAAAAAATACTGATTTGCTTTCTTTTACTGGGTCTTACTTTTAATGAAACAAGTACTGGAAATTTAACTTTACATATGGGGACTTGGTCATTTTGACCAACCTTACAACCAACAGATAACCATAAAAATACATGCTATAACTTTTAATATAGTAAGTCTATATTTACAAAACATCACAAGCCTTTCATACACGAAATCAGATTTTTAAGTTGTATTTTGATTAAAAATACTTATTTTCATTTTATTTTCTTCAGATTTCATTTGCATAACCTCTGGAGCCACCTAAATGAATATCAAGTTTTTTTTCAGTAAAACTTTATATTTTATCTCTTACTTTCTCTACCCCTACACTATATGGACTTGGTTCATGTAACAGACCTTGTAGCTACAAGAACAACAACATAAAAATGGAAATAAATCTAAATTACCATTTTTGCTTTCTAGATTGACTGTAATAGAAAATTATATTTATCCTAAACAGCCTCAGACTCATAACAGTTTACATCTGTTTTTATTTAGTTTTATTGATTTTTGAACTGTTTTTAACTACTAAACCAATATAACAATCTGTAAGAAACATGTAGCTCAAGTTATGATATTGAACTATATAAGCACATGCAGCTTCCATGCAGACAGACGTTGCTAAGAAATTTTATTCAACTTCTTTTCAGTTGTGTTTCGTTATCTAACCTAATAAATTTCTATATTTTACATTTAAGGTACTTGTATAACAATAAATAGAAAATATACATAAAAAGAAATTTAGTACTTACGTCTAGCCTCTTGTTTTTTTGCACTCGGCCAAATGACGAAACTTAACCCTACTTTTTATAACGATGGTAGCAGTACAAAAAATATTTTTTAATTATTTCAAATATGCAATAAAGAACACAAAATAATAACCCACATAAAGCATATAATGCTCTATAACTATTAAAATTTAATAGACTTTCTAACTATGGTATAAGTGCCTTAAAATAATTCACTTACATGGTTGATGTGAACTCAATAATAGTAACAATGAACCTGCAGGCTGAATAATTCAAATGCTCATGAGAATGAATTAGCCTTGTATGGAAATCAATAAATTAAAATCTTCTTTCTATTGATTATAAATAATCCAAGATCAAATGTCAGAGAGAATTATTAACATTTTGTGAAAGAAAGAATATGACAGCAGTGGGTGGCAAGTGGATTTTTACTTTTTGTTTATACATTTGTAAACAAAGAAGAATAGAGGCTACAAGATTAGATTATACCTTATTAATATCTATATTATAAATATTTAATTTACGTTCAACTCAGGACATTATACAGGGGTGATGAAAAAATCAAAAGTGGGCAAGCTGAAGCAAAAAAGTGTTACATTTTAACAAGTGAAAACTGAAGACTTATTTAAATATTTGCTTATCAAATTAACAAATTAAAAGTTATAAATATTAAAATTGGACTTATTAACTATGTTTTAATGCCAAGTTTATTAATATACATTGATGATAAAGTAATGTAATTAAATGCTGAATGTAACTCTGTAAGAAGTTGTGATATGTACATTTTGACACTCTCTCATTCAGGGGTTAACAAAGAATCTATTCACAGGGTCATGTCAATCAGGATGGGGGGGGGGGGGCAGACCACCCCATTGGTGAGTTCTGCTTCTTCCCCAGCAGCCTATCCATATAGCCTTTTAAGCTTTTTGAATTATCTATATTGTGACTCTCACTGATATCATTTTTCTTTCCCCACGTACTAACTCTTTATCCCCCCTCAATATAAAATCCTAGAAACACCTCTCCCTGTTCACCGGCATCTGCTACTTTTTAAGATGTACAAATAGCCCATTAGTGCTAACCACCTTATGAAACTAGTGTGAGAATATCTAGTAGTTAAAACACTACTTGTTGCATTACTAAGCTCAGACCAGCAAGTTTATTCTGCAAAAAAGACCAACATGTCTACTGTCAAATTATGTAACAAAAACTATAATACTCTCTACTAACTATAAAATACACACATTCAATATACCTTCTTGCTATGAAAATCTTTTACCAACTGCTTTAGTAATGATGTTTAACACTGATTTAAACCACATATTCTATGTGTATTATACAATATCAAGTTTCAAGTTAACTCATTACCTGTAATGAAAATGTGCAAATTTTATATGTGCATAGCTGCTGATGAATTGTAAAATTCACTTTAAGAAACAGAATACAATTTACCTAAAGTAGTACGTAATTAGTCACATGAATATTATAACATGTTAAGTATTGCAAGAAATGGCTCTCAGCAGTACTAGGCATGATTCCCTCTTCTTTATATAACATATTTCTTGTTTTGTACGGGCAAAGAAAATGTTATAAATCATAGTGACAAAATATATTATTCTTTATCACTAGATTAGAGATTTGTTCAACACAAGTACTGCATATCCTATATACATATGTTGGAATTTTTATAGCAGCCTGCAAACTTTCACTAACACATGCAAAAAGAGAAAAACTGAAAAGCATTTCAACTAAAAATCAGGACATTTATCATATGAAATGTTTATTCTTCAAGAAAATATCCTGAAATTTTACTATATTTAGGTGAGCTCATAAATTTTGAAACCTTATAGGTCTGCTGTTTTGTACATTAACATTTACTAGTTCAACCTTCAAACAATTTAGTAATAACACTGGGTTCTCAATAACACGGAACTCCAAGTACTTCATGCACAGCTTTCTGAGTTCACACATAAAAAATAATATCATACAAGTAAAGAAATTTTGACTCATGCATTACAAATGTAAAAAAAAATGCATTAATTTTAGTGATTTTCAATGCTCTTACTGACTTTGAGTAATCGCCAATATCAAACAAATTTACATTTTAGGGCAGGTGTTAGGTACACGTACACAGTATATATTACAAATTGGTTTGACTCATGTAAACAATAGCTGAGCTCATGCATGTCACAAGGTTTCCTGTCTGTGCAGACATCTCAGTCACACAACTATCAATGAAATGAGAGAATGCTCTCAGATTGAGTTTTACATATTTGTGGGTGAACTGTCAAGAAGATGAGCTGTTAATTGGTCAAGCATGATCAGTTTGCAATTAAAGTATTGTTTTGTTTGTTTGTTTGTTTTGAATTGCGTGCAAAGCTACACGAGGGCTATCTGCGCTACCCATCCCTAATTTAGCAGTGTAAGACTAGAGGGAAGGCAGCTAGTCATCACCACCCACCACCAACTCTTGGGCTACTCTTTTACCAATGAATAGTGGGATTGACCATCACATTATAATGCACCATGGCTGAAAGTGCAAGCATGTTTGGTGGGACGGGGATTCGAACCCACGACCCGCAGATTGGGAGTCGAGCTCCCTAACCACCTGGCCATGCTGGGCCAACAATTAAAAGAAACATGACTAATCAGATTGTCAAGCAGCTTGCTTTGAAGGTGTTGTGGTCAATAACAGGTCTTGAACTATTGCTTATTGCACCTTAAGAGATGAATGATAACTAGCAATCAGCCTAGTTGTTACCTAAAGGATGCATACTTAGACTTGTAATTATTACATAACAATCACATACACTTACTTTTAATTAATGGCTTTTACCAATTTCAAAGAGAGTATTCTTCAGAGTACATCACAATGTCATAGACAACAATTTAAATTTTCATTACTCATCACAAAGTTGCAAGTATCAATACACTCACTGAACAGATCCCAAACTAACAGAGCATCATATGATATGGAGGTACAGTGTATTTGTTACAGGGGTTGGAAGAGTCATTAATTTTAACACTTTATAATCATATAGGCATTCACCATCAGGGTTAAAGGCTACACCTTTAAAATTTGACACCCAAGAGTATTTTCACCCCATTTCTGAAATCTTATGAAGAATCCTATAACATGACTAACAATAAAAAAACTCTAAGCAGACTTACAAATTTCTAGTAAATCACCTAACATGATAAAAAAGTTTTAACTTATATCATTAGTACAAGTGCATCAAGTTAATTAACTGTGATTTTCCAGTTGATTTGTGAAGCTAGCACCAGTTAATAGAGAAAACTATTTTTGGCTTACAGATTATCAACATTTCAAATCAATGAATTAAGCCAAATTCTACTAAGAAATCTCTAATTATTATTCTTGTGATTTGATAATATAAATAATTAACTATAAATTATCAATTTATTCCTTAAAAAGTTAAAAATATAACACATTATTACAGCTTGGTCATATTAAACAGTATATCTTCAAGATATTTAAGATTGAAGCAATTCATGACAACCTGTAGAGACAGATAAAAATATGAATACATACTCAATAAACATGGTCAGTGAAAATAACCATGAGATAATCAATTACTCTAAGTTACTTTCCTAGTAAGTCAGGGTAATGAATAATTTACACAGGCCTTCGATGGTTTTATTGTCTTGAAATTTTTATATGTTCTACAGTAGTTCTTGTATGCTGAATCTGAAAATGATATCCATTTTTCTCCATCATGCACAGATTTTTCAAAAAGAAGTGATACATAAGAGAATCATTTTCATTGAAATCAGGTCCCATTTTGTTAAGCTTAAAATGTTGACAACCACTGGCTATAGATTTCTCTAGAACAATTGAGACATGAAAGTCTTATCAACCATTCTAAAACCACCGAGAAACACACTGTTAGTATATAGTATATGCTGAATCTGAAAATGATATCCATTTTTCTCCATCATGCACAGATTTTTCAAAAAGAAGTGATACATAAGAGAATCATTTTCATTGAAATCGGGTCCAATTTTGTTAAGCTTAAAATGTTGACAATTCTGGCTATAGATTTCTCTAGAACAATCGTGACATGAAAGTATTATCAACCATTCTAAAACCACCGAGAAACACACTGTTAGTATATAAACGGTTAACAGGCCACGTGACTTGTCATTTCTGGATAGTATTTGTTTGTGTGTTGCTATGGCAACATGAGGTTGTGTGCTATAACAAAACAAAGGCAAAATATTACAGAATTTGTCAAAAAAGCATATTATGTATATTTTGGAATAAAACTTGGGGACTAAGACAAATCATGGGCTCCACACAAAGTTTGCATCGAAGAGTTGAGACAATGAAATTCCAATGCACTGGCATGAGCCAGAAACCATGGAGATGACTGCTAAATTTGCTCATTTAACATGCAAGGCTACAATACTCAAAATAAAAAGGAAATTTCTTATTCCAAACCTTCAATCTGCTCATGGACCTACTCCACCAGAGACTCTTGATAGAGTTTCTTCTGAATCTTATGTCAATAGAAATGATGATAGGGATTGTTTTCAATGAAATGTCTGATGAACCACAACTTTTCACACAAGGTTAACTTAATGATTTGGACCTTCCAAAGGATTCTTCAGAGATTTTGAGGTTCAGAATTCAGGCTAGGAACTTACTTTCTCATGGACATCATTTTACTGGTACAGAAATCGTGAGAAAGAGTTTAGACAATACTTTTTGCAAGAAGGTT